AAACAGAGAGCGAAGAGAAGCAGGGAAACCTTTTGGGATATTCCTGCATAATTATTCTTCTAGAAAGGCAATGAAGACCTACATGTGCAGCATTCGCAATGGAGAAGACAAGGGAGATTCAGACACATCTGTGAACTATGACATCAGAGTCCTTTCCCCTTCACTGAAGAGTAGACAATGAGACCTACGTCACAAAGCGGCGTGATAACCAAGAAGAGGAGCACACAGGTAAGTGCCTGGTGAGGTACCTTACATACAGTAAATCCCTCACAAAGACTCCTTCACTCTTGCCTTTATTTGGTCGCTGCCAAGTTAAGCCCAAACTGTTACATAAAGCCTGGAGCAGTGCGGGGTGGAAGGGTGAGAAGACTTCCCGGTGTCAGCAGGATGGGGTGCCGACAGAGGGGACAGTGAACCAGACTGGGGAATAAGTTCAGAGGAAAGTCTGTGGTTTGTCTGTTTTATTTTTGAGGGAACTATATAGGATGATCACAGAGAGATGTATGTCCTGAAGTTGGTTACACAGGAAATAGACTCGGAAGTAGGTCCTGGGTGGAGATAAAGATCGGGAACCCAGCAGCAGCGGTGGGAGTTGAGGTGCTGGCTCAACGGAGACCATGCAGGGAGATAACATGTAGTAGGTGAGGACAGTGGAGATATCGACCCGTCGGAACAGGAAAATGGCCAAGGAGCTCGAGGAGAAAAGCAAAAGGACCGAGCAGAGAAGTAAGAGGATAAATGGAAACCAAAGGATGATAGTGAGAAGCTTACATGTCACCTGCCACACAGTGGTCAAGTGAAATTGCGGGTCGTTTAAAAGCTTTCATGGGAGCAATGATATAGTGAAAAACTGGGACATTCCAAACGTTGAAGTGGAGCAGATTCATTAGTGCAACAATATTACATCGTCACTACTACAATGATACAGAAGTATGTTTCTTTACGTATGCCCAAAACAGTGTTCAGATACATTGGCTAAATTTTTTTAAAAGGCTAGATTCATAATGATCATATATGTTATGAGACAGTAAATATATACGAGAATATATGTGGCAAAAAAATCTTGTGGAATCAGTAGAATAGGGTTGTTGTGAGAAACTGTAAGACTAGACTTTGAAGTAGTTTGTAGCACAGGAATAGAGCTTGAAAGGAATCGAGGTGGAGAAAAGAGCCCCTGTGTATGTAATTATGTGTACACACACACACACAAATGGAAACGGAATCACACAGTCATGAGAAATCTGGATTTCTAAGTGAACAGTTTTTAGATATTATATAAATAACTGCCACATCTTTTATGGCACTAATGCAATCATGGAGCTGGGGTGAGTAGGCACAAAAACAAACTAGAAATCCCTAGTTTGCTTGCTTTTTATTATTTTACTTTAGGTTTTTAAGTAGAATGTAGCTTTTCACTACATTGGTATTAGCATATTTAACAGACACTTTGCAGAGTATTTTAAAGCAAAGAGAAGACCCTACACAGCACACGGCCCATCTTTGTCGCTCACAGAAGGAAGTGATGGAGCCACAGGAATGAGTGGCATGGCCTTGGCCTCCAGTGCCCACCTGTACCTCTGCACATGTAGTGCTGTAACCATGACTTACAAATGCCCCTCACACCCCATGCATCCCGTCTCTCAATAAAGACTGCAATGCTATCAAGATCGAAGTTTGAAACTTCAAATGCTCTTTAAATCAAACACAATAAAGGAAGTCCAGACACTTTTTCTTTTGCTGAGAAAAACGAACTCCCAGTTCCACTCTCGCCTCAATTGCATAACTCAAGAGAGCAAGAGGCAACTTTCCTTGGACTCTTCAAATACACTCTCTTTAGGGATCAGGCTATGCACAAGAAAATAGCTCAGCAGGAATGTTGAAGAAAAAAAAAGAGAGGGAGAGAGAGAGAAACGAGAGATAAAAGCAGGAGAGAACCTGAACAAAACATTACCAGCACCGTAATATAACACATGCACTGTCAAACGTTAGTTATTAGAATGGAATCAGGGACAAGGAGTCAATGTGGAAAGTAGAGATCTGGCAGGAGTGGTTTTAAGAAAAAGAATACACATGTGTGTTGGATGGATGGACACATGACCTAGTTTGGGATAAATGAACTTGAGAATCGTTTACAATTTATGTGAGCCTGTTTCCAGCTAGTCTGAAAGGCAACCTGAAACTGTGTTATCAATTATGGACTCATTGATGGATTATATACAGTCTGAAAGAGGCTAAGGCTGGATATCTGACAGATGTAAATATCAGACATGCGATAGCTGATGAAGGACATTAATTCTGCTCTGAAAAGGGGTATGCGCTAGAGAGGAGGAAAAGAAGGGGCTCTGAGGTCACCCCCCACCATCTACCACTCCTCTCCTATTACAAATGATTGCTGAGGAATGTGGACTTTGGGATGCAGCCACTGCCTGGTATGTCACAACCCTGACGTGCAAGCAAGTCGGTTCTCAAATACCTGAATATTGCCAAAAGCTGCTTGTAAATCTAGCTACGTCAGCTGTGCTGAGAACAACTCTTGTTAGGTAGTATGTTACACTTGAGACCTGCTCTTAAAAATAGCAAAATTCAACATCTGATCTTGACCTATATACCTCTACCCTCACTACCTTCTTCCTGATCAAACCCAAGAGAGTGTTTACCACATCGAAGATGCTTAATACATATTTCTTAAATGAATGTTTATTGTACTTATTCATTCCAGTTAGTAGGTGAGAGGCCATTATCTGGCAGGAAGAATGGCTTCTGTATTCACTAAGAAAAAGACACAATAATGTGACTACTAATGATGGAGATATATCTCAACAATGGGTTCATTCTTAGAAACAGATATAAAATAAGGGAATGAGGACACAGCCACGTCTGCAGTTGCTTCCAGATCCTTCACGGTCTGGCACACTGAGGTGAGTGAGCCTGGCAGGGGGGCATTGCTCGGGCTCCCGAGTGAGCACGTGCCTCCCTCAGTCTGCCCTTCCTCCTGGTCCAATCACACAGCCAGGAGGGTAATGGGGCTGCATCCAGAACCTCAACACAGACAGCAGGTAGTATCAGATTTGCCACTAAAGGTACTATACCAGAAAGGAGTGAAAATATATTGGAAAATAGTCTATAATATCTTCTTGTTTTATGTCCCCCTGATTGTAGAACATGCTTACTTTAAAATTAAGAAAACTAGGAAGTAAAAAGAGCCCACTGTTCTATCACTACAAAGATAACTATTATCAACATTTATAAGTGAGTCCTTCCAGATCATTCATATCTATATAAATTTTCTTCTTATTAATTTAAATAGCCCACAAATTAACATGTATTGTAAAAATTTTAACTACACATATTATTGGATTAAATTGTGCATTTCTGGACATATTTATACCTGATCCTGTTCAAAGATTGCTATTTCAACCTCAAGTCTTCAGACCCAGCAACACGTCTTGTGTTAGTGTGCACGTTTGAAGAAAAGGGACTAAATACTAAATTTGGGAACTAGGAGACTCAGGTTTCAGCTTTGTGCTAGCTAGGAACTCTTCCAGAATCCACTTCTTCTGCTCATCTTTTTCTGTACTCTCTTCCATTATGTTTTTTTTTTTTTTTAATAAAAATTATTTTCATTTTGCATCCTTTCTAGTAGTAAACCCCACCCGCTCCAGGAGTTTTCCAGATTTTCAGACCAATAAAAAAATGACCGAATCGCCCTGGCCAGTTTGGCTCAGCGGTTAGAGCATCGGCCTGCGGTCCAGAGAGACCCGGGTTCAGTTCCCGCTAAGGGCACGTACTTCGGTTGCAGTTTGTCCCCGGCCCTGGTTGGTCGTGCGGGTGGCAGCCACTCGATGTGTCCCTTCACGTCGATGTTTCTCTCTCTCTCTCCTTCCTCTCTCTCCCTCCCACTCTATCTGTACAAAAAATGGAAAAAAAATATCCTCGGCTGAGGATAAAAAAAATGACCGAATCCATTATATAACGGTCTCTGCAGTATGTGCCTGGCTGATTTAGTTGGACCACTTAGCTAGCAGCTATAGTTTATGATCTTTAAGCAACATAAAGCTTATAGTTCTATCTTTCCAGACCCATTTTGTGTATACAATTCCCAACAACTACAATTCTTCCCCTGGACCGAGGTTGGACGGGGCTCTAAAAATAAATATTCTGGTCCTCTTGCATTTCTCTTGGGTTTTATATGTCTGCAAGAGACCCGGAATTTGGGAAATATAGTTCTTCATATTAAGGATTAGATCCTTCATCTCTCCAACAATGAAGGAAGTCTTAGGACCTTCTAAACCTTTGCTTCTTCCTTGGTAAAAGCCGGGAATTGAGGCTGGTAGATGCTTTCTAAAGTCCCTTCCAGCTCTGAAAGGTGAAGCCTTTAGGTTCGGAGGTCCATCAATCAACAAGTGTATATAACATGACACAGGGGTGAGACATAAAAAATGAAACTCCAGGGCAAGAGAATAGAAACAGTCTGTCACTTTGGAGTTATATACACACAGGTACCCTAGTAGTTATTGCTACTGCACATAACTGAGTTCCACTGAGACCAGGGAGGAAATCCAAACTCAATATAAAGCATCATGACACTGTTTATTAGCAGAAAAGCTCCCTCATCATTCTTCTGAAACACCCCTGAAAACAAATGGAAAATTATAAATAGGAAATACTAATGAAATTAAACACCTTCTATTGCACAGATAACTGGGTCTCTAAAATAACCTTTAAAATAACAAATGTAAAACTCCTAACAAATGAATAATGGATTGAAGAGCCTGTGCACTATTTTATTTTTATATATATATATATTTTTTTTCAATGCATGTAGCTCAATTTTCTTCCTTTCCCTCTTCTGAATGTCAACTTTCCAGCCAGAAATATCCTATGTTAAGTATATATTTTTCTTCAAAACTTAAAGAAAAATGTCTAAAGCAATACACTGGTTCATATACTTGAGTGTGGTGTAATATAGTTTATTTTTATAAAACTCACAGATCACTGACCTGAATTTAAGTCTCGTCCTGGATTGAAGGCCCGACTATTAACAGTTGTAGAAAGTCGATCGCAACTAATTGTTCTAGATACATTGGTATTGAAGTTCCCATCAAATCTGAAAAGAATAGGAGAGAATTAACAATATTTATTTGGTGGTTATTCAATTCAGAAAAACAAACCAAAAAAAAAAAAAATAAATAAGAGTTCATACTGGATATAAAATAAGTCAGCTCATAAACAGTAATATTGTGATTTAGATTTTAAATATATAAAAAAAATCACTGCAGAACAGTTTTGGAAAAACACTATTTGCATCTAGAAGGTTTTAGAAATGAAGTTTAATTCTATGGAGATGAAGAAATAACCATCCTGCAAACCAACCTTTCTTCCATGAACCCGAGTCAGGTACTGTTAATAAAATCACACAGACAATAAATTCAGACTAGAATTACAAAAATTCAGACTTAAGCTCTGATGTTACATATGAAAGAATTTTCTAAACTATCCTATTTGAAAATCAATGACCAAGAACCAAAATAGACAGTAGTGAAGGAAAAAGAATGACTCTTGAGTAGGAAAGATCTAGATTTGAATCTCTACTACGTCACTATTAAATGTTATGTCCTTGGACAAAATTGTTTAATTTTTCTGAGCCTTAGTTTTCTTATCTGAGGGAAGAAAAAAAAGAAATAAAACTTATTTTCTAAAGCTGTAAAAAAAGATGATAAATAATAGTCTGTCATTTTAGCATTCTGGCTAGTATCGGATCAATAAATACTAGTGCAATTGATGACTCATTTGCTAGAGCTACAAACAATCTACAAGAAGATAACAGGACAATGTACCAAGTCATTAGTGAAGAGTGTTTTTTTTTTTTTAATCCTCATTTTTCCATCTTTCATTCAGATAGAGCAGGAGGGAGACAGAGGAGGAGAGAGAGAGAGAGAGAAACATCGATGTGAAAGGGACACATCGAGTGGTTGCCACCCGCATGACCCAACCAGGGCCAGGGACAAACTGCAACCGAGGTACATACCACCCCTAGTGGGAACCGAACCTGGGTCTCTCTGGACCACAGGCTGATGGTCCAATCACTGAGCCAAACCGGCCAGGGCGTGAAGAGTGTTTTTTTAAAAATGAATTTAACCCAGAAGTAACAAAAGAGAAAAAAAACCTTGAACTTCTAAGTAACCTATTTTGGATTTCAGATACTGGTGGGACTTAGGACACTTCTAAGCTTCTCCCCGCCACCCAACCCAGATAAATTCAATCTGAAATTAGGTTTTTTAAAACTTATGTTAAAATGTGTATCTCAGATGATAAATGCCATTCATGAATGCAATTCCATTACCACAGGTAGAGAAGCTGCATCACCTGTATCATCCAGGAGAAACAAGCCTAAAACTCAAGATCCACTGGATTGTTCACAGGAACTTTGATTATCTGTTGATCACATCTCATAATATATAAGAACTACAAAACTGAACTGATTGTATACGCGATGGGGCTAGGTTTCTACATGGTGTGTTGTGTTTCAAAAGCTAAACATTTTGTTTTGAAACATATCATCTCAAAGAAGGGGGTAACTAAATTTCAAGAAACCTTTAGTCCAACCTCTAACCCAGTACAGAATTACATCAACATTGTCAACTATGTCTCCAAGGACCCAGTTGCTTCACCAACATGGTTACTCTTCCTTGGACCTGGTCCAATCTGTTGAGATAAGAAGACTGTTCAACATGGTTCCTCTTCCTTGGGTCTACTCCAATCTGTTGAGACAAGAAGACTGTTGCCTCAAAAGCCACAGATGGAGAGAAAAAGAAGAGATTATTAGTAATCAGCAGCTGGCTGTGTGCATGCTGACAAAGCAGTATACCCTCACTGCACCTCTCTCGTTTTACGGCTGACTTCTGTAAAGTGAGAGCAGTGTTATACAAGTGACTCACTTCCTCTCCATGCTCAAGATGCTACAGTAAATCTATGCCCTCACATACTCTTTAATAAGACCAGATAATATTTAGGCGTTGTGGGCTATATGGTCTACCTGCGACTCACCTCCGGATTTTGCGGTACTACAGTTCCATTTTAGACTTCCCCATTTCACAGTTGAGAAAAGTGACACCAAGGATCATGCAGAAAGTCAGGGTCTTGAATCTCATCACCCAACTCCCTGTTCAAGGACGAGCCACATACCACACTGCTTAAGTGAAGTGGCACATGATGGAGAACTTGCTAAGAGGGCAACTCAAGAGTTACTGAAAATTCTTCCAGGTAAAGTGTACGCTTGGAGAAAGTACCTATCTTCCCGAAGTCTCCACAGCCAGGACCTGTGCCATTAGCCCCACCCCTTGAAAGGCTGTCCCAGGACTGAGCTGAAGAGGTTCCCTGGACCTCCGTGCAGCGAAAGCTTGCTCCTGGGCATGGGGAGACCAGCTAACTATTTTTAGAAGTTATTTTCTTTTCTGTACTGAAAAGATCATCTCTAAAAGCATCAAAGAAAACATTTTTTATGACAAAAAAGACAGAAGTGACTCATTAACAAAAGTAGGTGGCTAGTAAGTAAATATTTGTCCATCGTAAAAAGGCTTCACGATGTAGTACTTGTTATCAATAATCTACCCAACCCTTTGGTCCCACTATCTCCCAACCTCTAGTTCTAACCAGACCAGTCCCTCAACTCTTGGATCCCACCTGTGATGCTCTCCAGTGTCCACTGCACCTATACAAAGCCGAACTCTTCATATCCTCCTATGATGACCCCTTCCTCCTCTAAACTGACCAGTGTCATTCTGGTCAATTCTCTCTAAAACCTTCCACGTATTTGAGAAGTTTTTCTGGTGGAACTATACGTTTCTTGAGGGTTTATATTTCTCTCTCAGGTCTAGCACATTGCTGGTAATGTGCACTCCATAAATTCTCAATGATGACTGACTAATGAGGAAGGGCAGAGAGCTAAGTCATTGGAAAGGTCTGGGTATTTTATTAAGTCATATTCATTGAACATCTTTGATTAATAAGGCACTGTCACCCTGGCAAAGCACAATTATGTCAGCATCGGGAGCATGGGCTTGAGAGGTACATAGACCTGGACCAGAGTTTGGGTTTAAATTATATATATGTAATTCTTGAACATAATTTACATTTTGTAAGCTGGCACTAGTAATAGTACCTATTTCATAAGGTGTTAAGAATTAAATTAGAAAAGGGGTCTTAAGAGTAAGCATTTAATAAATAACAATAACAGTACTGAATTTATTAGTAATGATAACAGTTAAGAGCTCTTAAGTGCTTATCTTCTGTCATGTATATTTCATGTGCTTTACATGGATTAACTCATTTAATCTTCTCAAACCCTGAGGGAAATACTATTATTATCTCCATTTAAACACCAGGAAACTGAGGCACAAAAATTTTAAATTTAGAAGCCCCAGGCTCACAGCTGGGGATTAGCAGAAACTAGATGTGAACATACGCCCTGGCCGGTGTGGCTCAGCTGGTTGGGCATCCTCTCATGCACCTAAAGGTTGCTAGTTCAATTCCTGGTCAGGACACAAGCCCAGGTGGTGGGCTTGATCCCCGCAGGGGGAGTGCAGGAGGCAGCAAATCGGTGTTTCACATTCACATTCATGTTTCTCTCTCTCCCTCTAAAAATCAATTTTAAAAAATCTAAAAAAAAAAAAAAAAGATGTGAACATACTATATTTGAGCTCTCATTCATAATGAATACATTACACTTTTATCTCAGTAAGTCAACAAATAATCATCACCATCATTATCTAAAACAGCTAAAGAAGAATTCAGTTCTCTCAAAGGCTACGGACAAAGGTGTGGATGGGGAGGATGAGGAAGAAGATATAAAAGACAGGTATTCTCTATTAATTACAGATAACTTGGATTTTAAAAATGTTCACCACTGGCATAAATATGGAATTGGCCATTTTGAGTTACTTTTTATTATTTCATTCTAGAAAAGCCTCAAACTCCCTTCCCATTTCACCACTGACATCTGGGAGGTTTCGGGATAGAAGAGTGAGTATATATGCATTGTCTGCAGACTCGTTCATACTAGTTTCCTCCTTTTCCTGATACCAACTTTCCCCTCTGAGAAAAAGACCCTGGCATTTTGATAATGCAAGGACCCTGAACAGATGGCATATGTAACAACAAAGATAATATTGAACCGAAATAAGAAAAAGCCAAGAAAGAGAAAATTGCCCTAAATTCTGAAAATTTCTCACATGGGAAAATGAACACAGGATGCTAAACAACATAGTGGACAATGCCACAATGTAAGTTTTATGTAAATATGGACAAGGCATAATGAACAGCCCAGGGGAACTCCAGTTGAGGTGGTGCACACAGGCAGCCTTCCAGAGATCACACTTGATCCAAAAATAAAATGTAAAATATCTGAAGTTCTTTTTCTGAAGGAATACATAGAATTGTCCTGATGTTTTAGAATAAGTAACCATCTTGCAGGGGAACCTCAGCCAGAGACAATAGGACCTATCTGCTCGTTAGCTCAAGGACATCGGGGTTCTGAAAGTTTACTAGTTAGTAAGGGGTGAAACAGACTGTTACTTCATTTCAGAATATGATTTAATTGTTTCCTGAGTCATCTGCATGTAATGAATGCTGTTTTAAAGATTTTTTATTGACTTTTTTAAGAGAGAGAGAGAAACATCAATATGAGAGCAAAACATCGATCAGCTGCCTCCTGCATGCTCCCTACCAGGAACTGAACAAGCAACCTTTCAGTGCATGGGACAATGCCCAATCCTCCGAGCCACACCAGCTAGGTCAATGCTGGTGGTTTTAAGTTAATTTACTCCTATCAGCCCCCCATATTCTGATATTTTAAGAATTCAGAGACGTGCCCTGGCCGGTTTGGCTCAATGGTTAGAACGTTGGCCCACAGACCAGAGAGGCCTGGGTTCTATTTCCGCTAAGGACATGTACTGCAGTTGCAGTTTGTCCCAGGCCCCGGTTGGGGTTGTGTGGGTGGCAACCAGTCGATGTGTCTCTCTACATCGATATTTCTCTCTTTCTCCCTCCTATTCTCCCTCCCACCCTATCTGAAGATACATGCACAAATACATGTCCTTGGGTGAGGAC